AAAAAACATATGTTCTCACTGAACCCTTCAGTAACATTGGAAAAGCAGCATGATTGCCTACTACCCCTTTCACTTCTATCTGAGGCACCACAGTATGATTACAGTATGCTACTCACAACAGGGCACTTGAGCTTTGGCGCTGCGAACCGGAATTAGCCATAATTAAGAGTAAATACGTGAAAAATCAGACTCTGTCCCTCTTTTCTTCCTTAGCTTTTTTGAAATTTGTTATTACTGGTAATTTCCGGTTTCTTTTTTTCAAAGGAAAATAGGGAGCTATCAGGAATTTTAAGAAATCGAAACTTAAAGAAATGCGAAGGAAAAGCGTCCTACAGCTGCTTACGACCTAAGCAAGAGTCAAAGGCTCATCCAGGGGCATCCCTCTTCTACAAGGGCTGCCTATAAAATAAAGGGGTTTGGACTGAGTCGGTGAACCAAGGAAAGAAAGGTTAGAACGATAGCGGTAAAAAAAAGAAAGCAAAGGGTATGCCTTAATTCAGTATCGCAGTTGGACTTTTGTGCCCCCGTTTTATTCTCGGCGTTTAAGGTGCTTTTTTCTGTCAATCATGAAAATTTATAAGAATGACAATGATTCTGTAAAATTTAGAAGTACGAGGACAAGGTGAAGAATTGGGCAAAAGCGATGACTGGAACATCGAAACAGTGATCGACTGGAAACGCATCGTCGCCATGTACTATCAGATGAACGGTGAAGTACAAACGGATGATATACATCTGGAAGTACCGCCATGAATTGTTGGCGAATCGTTAAAAACCTTTGGAAAGGTGCTGCAGTAAAAGATTTGCGGCAAATGATTTCCGGTTGCACTCTTCATTAGCAACAGTGATAAACATCCTAAAGCAGTCTAAAGCATGGCTAAAAATGTCCAGCAGGTTCCCGGTCATTGCGTGCCATTCGCCGAAGGCATCAGTGGGAGGAATGTCGAAGTGAAGATCGGCAAAGATTGAGTTTGGTAATTTCGGTAAAAGAACAAATCTGTATTCAGTTTGTGTTTCATTTCTTAGCTGTAAACACAGGAAATTAGTGGACGCGAATGAGAGTGGGAATCAGCAGTACAGCTTCCTACTCGCTATGTAAGCGATAAAACGGAGACTGTTTTCCTAACTGTTAGATGTATCATCTGACGCATTTTTCTGGGTTTTTCCGAATCCTGTATATTTCTTATAGATCATGACACAAACGTTTCACTCTTGACCGTAGCATGGGCCAGAACCTTGATATCAGGTCTATTTTGGTGCATTTAAGGCTATGACTTCAGATAAATGGATACTAGACTTCTACACATAAAGCAGTTTTGCGGTTCAAAACCCATGGATAGAATTACGACCGTACCGATTCTCCTGCGGACATTGCTATTCCATTTGTCGGAAGTCAAAGTCATCAATCACTGGATACTTATGAAATGATTCTGTAGGCATTAATTGTTTACATGTTTATTTTCTATATATTTTCGTTGGCTAGATGAAAGGCGGTGGGG